TGCATGACAGTATTGAAATTGGGCATTAAAATAACAGTAAATATCTCTGCATGAACTCTGAATCCTGGAGGGATTAATGTAACTGTAGCTACTAAGTTGATAAAACTGATGGTCGCATATATCAATTAGTCTTGCATAGGCAAATTTACATAAGTTACTTTCTGAAAGTGTGAAACTGTTCATAACTGGACCTAAAAGTGGCTTATTTACCATAATAGCATTCTGTTCTTAAATAAAATTTGGGCAAATTAAGTGGATAGAAAGGACACTGGCTAATACTGAGACTTGTAAATTCTTAGACATATTTGTTACAATTTAAAATGGAATTTTAACTGACATATCTTGGACTATCTATGCTTAGTTTTCCTGAAGTTTAAAAAAACAAGCCTTTTGATCTAAAATAAAGTTGCCCTTTAAGCCGCAATGGCTTATACAGCCTAGCCCTTTTGTAGGATCTTAAACTTTGCTTATACCTTGGCTTTGCTCTTCACCTTCCTTTTTCTAATATTTGCGTTATATAAATTTTAAATTAACATATTTCACTGCTTTATACATGTTTTCAGACTGCATGTAGGATTTTAGCATATTCAGACAGAAGTATTGGGCAAACACCTGTAATTCCCAGCACAGCTGCCTAAAACCTGGCTTTCTTATTTTCATTACGTGTAATGACTTTTAAAGACATATGGGTACTTCTGACTAAAACAAGCCAGATTATGTGCTTTGACTTGGTTTGGAAAATCACCTCTCAGTTTTTCTCATTCCTCATCAGCTGTTTGACCACATACTCTTTTCTTGTACAACCCAAAAGCCACCAAAAGCCACATATTTCCTGTGTTACAAGTGGGATGGATTCCATATGAAAGAAAGAAGAGAAAGAAAAGCAGTGGTAAATGTTCAGAATTTTTTCTTCATTGTGTATTTTTCTGTGTGTTCATGAAAAAACAGAACATGTGGCAAGCTGTTTGTAGTACGGCAGTACGGTTACATACATGCATTTATCTGTCCATAGGAAGACAAGGTAAAGTATGCCTTTTAATAAATTAAGGACATACACATTTTGACACTATTAATCTTAGCATTGTTCCTCTACGTATGGACTGGACTGATGTTTTACTGAATTCTACAAATCCAATACTATTTCAGGTTTGAATAACTTAACTGAATTTTTGTACTAACACTTTATAGAGTAGTATATGCACAGAAATGTTTTTTTTCCTGTAATGGTAATGAATACTTTACAAATCATATGATACAGCTGTTGAAATGTTTGCAACTGGTAAATACAAGCAGTATATGAAGACACTGATTTATTTACTGATGTATATATTTTGGATTAAAATGTCATTATTAAAAATATGAAACATATTAGGACCAGCTAACACTAAACATTACAAATGATACAACTCCACATTATTTTTTTTTGAGACTGGGATTTTCAGTGGCATTGAAATTGGAGATAAAGTGTGGACATTATTTTTGTTGTTGTTGAACCATTATATTTGTTAGTATTTGGTTATTTTAAGACATGTTATAAAGTGTCAAAGAGTGGAGAAAATGTCTGAGCCAAGAGAACTAATACCACAAAAGTATAGCAGTAAGTATTCCCTCTGCATCTTTTTCACAGTTATTTTGGCCCCTTTACTGAAAATCTGAGTGCTTCCTAAGTGTTCAGAAAAAAGAAGTAGCAGTTGGGTTTTTTTTTCTTTTCCTCTCTACAGAAAAAATGAAGTGACATCCAACTCTTCTGTTGGCTTTGCTGTTCAGGAGTGCTTAGTGTGTGTGCACATGCATATAAATAATTCCTTTTTGATGTGATTTTTGCCACAGTTCGCTCACTTGAGTGACATTTTTGCCCCATTTACATCGATGTTAAAATTTCCATTAACTTCCCCAAGGCTGGGATTCCACCTGCTTTGTCTAAGTTCATTATGGTTCAGTCTAATGTATTTAAAAGCATTTATATTTTAATTGCTTCAGTGGAATGCAGTTGATATGACTGGCAAATCTTGCAGAGGGCAGAAAGGATCATCTGGGAAGGAACAATCCCACATAAGGGCTTATACAACGGAACAGAAACACTAAGCTCTACGTTCAGTGGGAAATAGCGTGGTAAGGGGCATTTCAAAATAATCTCCTTTTAAAAAATTGTTTTCAAGTAGAATACTGCTGCTTTTAAAGAGTTTTGTCAAAGTTTACAGCTTCATTCCTGCATATGCATTGTCATAAGCAACACAAGTTAAAAATGTGGGTCTAACGAGATGGAGACAAATCTGTTAGCACCACACAGACAAGAGTGAATTATGCTGCTTGCCTGATTTGGATATCTAATCATGCTGAAAAAGAATCGAAGGTTGAAAGTGAGTGTCAGTGATAAGAAAGATTTTCTACAAAAAATAAGTCTGTGCCTTTGCCCTCCAATTCTCTCACCTTTTCCCCCTGCATCTTGCCTGCAACTGCAGTTGTAGTAAAAGCTGTTCAGTGGAGCAGTTCACCCTTGGCGCAGGAGATGGAACATACTCTGCGTGTCTGTGCTAAGTATGGTTTCAAACTTAAATGACTCTCTTTTCTGCTTCTTGGTGTATTGGCCTTGGCTCTCGCCTGGATCCAGGCCTAATCCTGTCTTCTGCATACAAGAAAGTGCTTTAGCTAAATTCTGAGATAGCTGGAAGACTGCTACTGCAAAGGTAGCACAGGAGATCATCCATTTGCTGCGGGTGCTTCAGCTCCTACCATCAGTTTTTCCAGTACTCCTCAGATACAAAGGAGATGAAATGATGTATAGAGAGTGTTTTCTCGGGAGTGCACCAGTAACTGTTTGCAGGTGGTTGGTATTTCTAAGCTGTTTATGATAACAGAGATGTTTTGCCAGTTGTGGCTTTGCTTCTTGTATTGCAGGAGTCAGAGAGAGAAGCCTTTTTTTAGCTCATGACAGAAGTTTGTAAACAGCAAGGTTTTCCTTCTTCCCAATTTTCATGTCACTAGACATAGAGTACCGTATTCATTAATGTGAACAGTGTTGTCCATAAATATGTATGATGGCAGTCCCTAATGTGAAGGTCTTCAACTAGTATAAATCAGGGTAATTCCTTTAATTTATGTGAACTGGCATAATCCTGTTCAAAATCTGGGCCAGAGTACAGGAAGCATATGTGTTTAGCCAGGGAAAGTTGTAGGAGTTTCTAATTCTTCTACTTACTGCTTTCATAGGGATGTGGAGTGTTTTGAAGTTGACATAGTCCAAATAAGGTATTTTTCATTGCCTATTTGGAGTGTTGATATCTCGGTAAGTAGAACAACATCCTTGGTTTGGGGGTTATGTTTCATTATTGCTTCATAGGAAATGAAGGCCCAGTTTGGATCTGGACTTCTGAGCAATACTGAAACTTCAAGAAACAGAAACATTTCTTTAAGGGATGAACCGTTTGTATGTGCAAAGTGCACATTAAAATGTTTAGCTAATTCAGAACATATATTCATTGAAATTAGGAAGACTGTCTATATTCATGTAACACAGCTGAATCCAGATATTTAGGGCATGTAACGAAGTAAACAAAAGGATTTTATGAATTTTGTAGCTTGACAGAGCAATGAGAAATGCAGTTCTTTTCAAATAGAAAATGATAATGCCTTTCACTAGAAGCAGAGCTTTTACAAAGGCTCTTTCAACTGAGGATCTCACAACTCTGCTTGAAACACTGAATTAGGGCTCAACACTGAAGCCTTTATCAAATGAGAAGTCTGAAGGGAAAGGGAGTGCTCCGATGATTTGTCAGCTGTAGGATTGGGCTCTTGCGCCTCACCCTGTGAGGTAAGGCAGCTTTACTTTCTATAATTTGCAGAATGAGCAAGAGAGAAGTGTGACTTGCCTAAGGTTACACCACAAGTCTGTGGCAAAGTTGTGGAATAAAACACCTTAGGAGACATGTACATAAGCTGCAATTTCATCTTTCTCTCATGATTCTAAGTTAGGAAGAACAACTGTTTTGAAATTCAAACCAGAAGGATAATCATGTCTTTACACGTGATTTGTTGGCTATCCTGGCTAGTTATCTTGGTTGAAATGAGGAGACATTTTTTAAAAATCTGTTGGGCGAGAGGGAAGCAAAAAGCTAACCCTGTGAATTTTCTGACCTGAAGATCTGTTAGGCTAAATTGATGTTAAGCTAATACATTTTCATGTAATAGTTACCACCTTACTTTGCCTGTCAGAATGATTCTACTAGAAAAATATAAAATATGTCTTGGATATATATAAATGAGATTATGTTTAATTAAAGCCCTATTCTCTCTGTCTTCTGTGTATCTATTTCTAGTCATTTTACTTTTCTCTGTACTTCTATCTGGCTTACATCTTTAAAATGCAATACAGAAAACTGCCACAAGCACACTTGGAGAACCTGAGAAAAGTGCAGTTTCGCACATTCGGATGAGAGCTAGTGGCACTGCTCAATCTCACCGTTTCATCACAGGCAGATGATATTACAGTGCAAGAACATTCAGGTTTGTAAATGATAGATTTTAAAAGGCAAAACAAATGTCAGTAATCTGCTGTACTTTGCAGCACCAGTGCCATAAATAGGTGCACTCTCTTCACTACTTGGGTGGCTGATTTTTAAATTTATGATGAAGTATATAAAATTAATGATGTGTGCTTACACTTAAGTGATAAAAGCTAGTTTCTGCCGGTGTGCTAATGTACATAATTGGTTCTTTACAACTAGAAACCAGATACTCTTTCAATTCACACGTTCATACTCTGTCAGTTTAATTTATAGAACTGTTTTGTTTTGTTTTGTTTTTGGGGGGGAAGGTGGGAGGAGAAAAAATAACATTTCTTACATTGTTACTGGACTTGGGATATACAAGTATAACTATGTGAAATCTGTGTCTGGGTAGCTGTTTGTCCTTTCTTGCAGAGTATTCTGTGCTGAGTGGGAGGGTCACACTGTGAGACTAATAAGGACAGAGCTGCATCCCCCTCTACCACTCTTTGGAGACTCACTCTAGCAACTCCTCAGCACTACAGCAGCTCTGTACAGACGTTTTCAGTGCTTCTGGGGGACCTACTGAAATAAAAATTAACGGTAAGCAGCTCATTATTTGTAGTCCATTGTCTAAACAATCTCACATTAGTGTGCACACACACTACAATATTCCTGGCTTGTTCTGTGGTGCTTTATTTTTCAAATTTGCCATTTAAGTTTATCGCTGATTTTGCCAATATTAACTGTGTTCTATATAAACATAAGGCACGCAGGAAGCTTTTAATGTACTGATCAGTCTGTGTGATAGGATTCCGCTCGTGATTGTGTAACACTACATCGTGTATATTTGTGGGTGCCTATAGGTATATGCTAAGGATACGCTAATGAAAACAGCCCTACTAAATTTGCAGTAATTTACAAGACCGATTAAACTGTTGCGAACTGCCGCGCTGCTGATCATGCTTATTAACGGCACGCATGCATTTACATTTTAAAACGTCCCTATTAGCGTGCATCACTCTAATTAGCACGCGGTATCCACCGGCCTGCGTCCAGTTAGTTGCAGCACGCGGGTGAGGCGGGGGGCACGGGCGGGAAGGGCACCAAAGGGGGCCGGGTGTGGGGGGGTGTTCCCCCGCGGTTACAGCGGCTGTGGGGCGAACCGCGGGGCTGCGGAGCCGGAGCCGCAGGTCCCCCGGCTGGTGCCAGCACCGCCCAGCCCGCCGCCTCTCCCCGCCGCCCCCTCACCTGCTCGCCCGGGGCGGGGGCCGCCGGCGCTGCCCTCACCCGGCCCGGCCCGGCCCGGCCCGGCCCGGCGGCAGAGGGCTCCCTCGCTCGGCCCCCGCGGGCTCCCGGCCCCGCTCCGCCCCGCGGCCGCGGAGGAAGCGTCGGCGGGCGCCGGCCCACCGGCCCGGGGCGGGGGGGGGGGGGGGGGGGGCAGCGGCGGCCGGAGAGAGCCCCGGGGCGAGGGGCCGGGGGCGCTGGCTGGCTCCCCAGCTCGCCCCACCGCCGGCTCACCCGGCTGGTGGTTTAAACCTTCCCCGCCGGCAACCCCGGCGCGAGCCAAGAGGAACGCGAGTGGGTGTGCGCGGGAGCGGAGCGGAGCGCGGGGGCGCGATGGCAGCGCGGGGGGGGTGGGGGGGCGGTGTTAGCGGTTCGCTTGGCAAGAAGAGCCCTTCAGAAAATGAGACCCCTGGAGCGGCAGCCCTGGTGAATTACCGATGCCTGCTTGTAAAGCAGGTGCAGGAAATTAAATGGTAACGTTATTTCAACATGTATTCGCTTCGCTTCGCTTCGCTGCTGTTGGGGAGGCTGGAAAAGTTAATGATGGTGTAGTTGCTGTCAGTACGCGTGAGTGACAGAATAGTTCTGATGATGAATAAGGTGCCTTGCAAAAAATAATTATAAAAATTACATCCTAGGGATGCGACTTGTTTTTCTTCCAAAAATGTGATTATTATAAAAATATTTGTCGTTTTCTGTGTTTCATTAAACTCGTGTGTCTGTACATTGCAGTTGGCTTAGAAGAAAAAACAATGCTGTCTTTAGAGGACAAAAGATGGTAGTTGAAGACAGACAATAGTTTTGTGAGACTTAAACTGTAAACTCCGTACAGGCTGCTCTGGGCACTTGTATGTTTTACAAGCTAGAGAGAAATACCGTATTCTGGTTTCTTTTGCAGTTAAACTAAAACAATTACACGTTGTCCTTGTTCAATCGATGACTACTTCAGCAGTCACTGCCAGTGTTGTGGCACTAAACAGTTTAGCTAATATATTAAAAATTGAAAATTTGGGAGAGAAAGAAAATTAGTCATTACTAACGAAATGAAAATTTCGTGCCTTTACAACTAATATATCTGAGTTAATATTTCTAATGTGTTACTTCTGATTTTAATAAAGAACTAAAGGAGTATATTTGCCATTTATTTCTAAATTTATGTAAGTCTATGGCTCCTTACAACAGATAAATGATACACTTTCTGTATGACTAGCAACTTCCTCTCTACAGTTAAGAAATTCTTGTGTGTAGTTTTCTGATGGGGTGAGGGGAAAAGAATAAGAAGAGGTTGTTCTGAATATCACTGTTTTCTGTTTCAGATTTGTAGCTGATTGTTCACATGTGTCCAGGGGGAGATGAAGTACATTGGATCCTGCATAGTTTGGCTTTGTATGGCAGTCTTCCTCCTCCTTCCTGTTTCTACTTCTGTGGCTGTCAGTGACCAGACAGGTACTTCCATTTTTCTTGCCTATCACAGACCATAAATCACATGCGTAAATCTCAGTTCTGAACAAATAATGGCAATACATGGAAAATAAGCAGTATGAGCTGATAAAATTATGCAATATTTTTTAAAATTTCCTTTTTGAAAAGAAGTCTACGTTTGAAGCAGTACCAAAGCAGCTTGCCTGTTGCCTGTGCTTGTAGGATTCGCGTTTGGAAGCAGTTGTAGTTTTGGTTTGCACTTTTTCAACCTACTATACAAGACAAGATTTTAAATCAGAGCTTGCAAAACTTTCATGAATAAAATCATGTGGCTTTATTAGAGCAGATCAGCGATCGCATTGACCTAAACAGCCTAATGCTCATGTTAACCTCACCTAAACTTAATCCCCAGACCAGGTTGTGTGTTTCACAGATGTAGAGTTAGACAAAACCTTGTGCTGAAGAAGGCAGGGGAAGGGAATATAATGATGTTGTTTAACTTAAACAAGTTAAACTTATTGTTTCCCACCTTCTGCGAATTTTCTCATACTTCCCTGTTTTCTTCTTTCTCTTACTGTCCACATGTTACCTAGCTCTCTCACGTAAACTCTACATTGACTCTCCAGAGGGTGGTAAATTTTCTCTTAAAGGAACAGCATGTGTGCTTGTAGAAGAAAGAATTGTCAGTTTTCTAGAATTGCTCAGCCTCAACACATACCTCAACTTTCTAGAATTTTCCTACAGTTATGAGCAAGGAGAAAATGCTTGTTGCTATTTAAATAGAAATAGTAATAGTTATTTTTCATTAATCGTTTTAGAAAATTAAATTTATTTTTAGTAATGCTGTTTTTCCAGAAACCTGATGAAAGGTAATAGAAGCTAGACACAGACAACAACTTTAAATCTCCATAACACACTTGAAACTCTGGCCCAAGAAATTTCAAAAGTCAATGAGTAGGATAATACTTTTACTACTAGAAACAATAAATAGTAATATTTAATAAATAATAAGTGTAATGTGCAGGCTCTAAGGGAAGAATAATGCATTGTGAAGACTCTGAATTTAAGTCAAATACTTTTTTGCCTTATATTTTTAGGGCAGTGAGGTTAAGTGCTCTACTGATGAATTATTCTTAACACCTGTGAGAAAGTGAGCCTGCACGATAGCTGTGCAATCATTCTCTTCAGCTGTGTTAAAAGAAGCAAAATAGGTTATTTTCTCTGACATTGCTAGCTGGTGGATTGTAGAAGGGAAGTTTTAAAAATGCTAAAAGGTTTTGTGTGCAGAAGGTTCCCCAATAATATAGATAAATAAATGGAAACTTGAAAAATTAAAAAAAAAAAAAATGCCAGGAAGCACTGCCTCTTTTCTTTCTGTTTGGTTTGTTTGTGGTTGTTTTTTTTTTTGGTTGTTTGGTTGTTTTTTTGTTTGTTTGTTGGGGTTTTGTTTTTGTTTTTGTTTTTTTTTTTTTCCTAGTGAAAAGATGTCTTAGTAAAAGGTGGACCAGTCATAGAGGGTGTGACAGATACACTGAACTGCTAATGAACGGTGTATCTGAACTGTACATTATGTTCTGTTCTAAGTTGGTGCCTAGGCAGCCAGCAGAGAAGTTGCAGTTTTCTTTAACCTGATTGCCACAAATGGATCAAATATGGGTCAAACTGAACCACTGGGAAGAAGAGGAGAGATGGAGCCTCTCCTGGGAATAACTGGTGGTGTGCAGTTGGGAGGGGCTGCTGCAGTTTGAGGTGGTACAGACAGATGGTGAGGAAGAACAAGTAGATAGCTGCCAGCTTGAGCAGCTCTGCCGACAGCAGGGAATAGGCTTAGAGTGAAGTCTCAAGTTGATAACAGCAAAGAGCCTCTTCTAGAGGCTGAAGGTATGGTTACTGTCCAAAAGAGGAGTGCAAGATACAGACCAGAAAGCAGGAGCTGAGAAAGAACGGACACTGCAGTGGTGCAGCAGTATGGGGTACAGGTGTGTCTGCAAGCCGTTCGTTAATCTACCCGGTTCAGCTGAACCAAGTACTCAGTGTTGCAGTTGTCTCATTCTAGTTTAATAATTTGTATGCAGGTGAATCTGTTTCAGATTGGAAATGTGCTGTCTTCAAGAAGAGAGAAATACCTAGCCTCCTGCCTCCTTTCTCCTCCCCTCCCCCCCCTGCCCCCGTTCTTGCATTAACTGGCTCTTTCTTGGGCCTTTGTTTTAATCAGCATCTAGTCAGCATCTGTCCTTCAGGATCTGCCTAGGCAATATGTTTGTTTTTCTTCCTTCAGTAACATATGTGCAGCATTTATTTCTCACTATGTTAACATGAAAGCTTTTCCAGCAAAGCCCATGTAGATAAGGTCTTGAATGATGACATTTACATCCTGGAATTTCTCACCTGATCTACCTGAGTCTAAAAGAATGGCCTTCAAATGCAGGGAAAAGTATAAATTAAAGTTAATTTGAAGTGGGGGCGGGGGAAGAAGTGTGTTAAGGGAAGGAAATCTGTTGTGCACAAGAAAGGGTTAACTTGTGTACATATGTAGGGGAGACCTTTCTGAGCTGGTATTCTGAATATACTCTGGGACTTACTCACTGAGTCAATATTGTAATAAATAAAAACCAGTATTGGAAAAAAAATGTCAGAGTGACAGAATATGCTGGATCTTCTCAGAGCAGTCCTCAGGCTCTGAATGTGTGCCAGTAACCGTTAGATTCACATCAAGGATTTCTTTCAGTTCTCACTTGTCCAGAAGTTTTGATGTGCTAATTGTTCATCAGAAGGAAGCCCTCACTTCTAATGACAGAATATAGCAAATCTGAGGGTGAGGGTTAAGGAGTTCTCCACAATCACAGTTTTGATCTGACTTCAAGAATATTTTCTTCATGTTGTCAACTTACATTTTTTTATTGTTGGGAACATTTGGTTTTGGAGTGTGGACATGAGCCATTTCTGTAGTGACACATGAAGTTCTGATTTGATCATTCCTGAATGCTTCATATTAAGAATATTAATACTTAGTCTCATTCCCAGATCATTGCTGCTGTTTTAACTTTCTTATACAATTACTGTTTTTCAAAGTCACTTGCTAACCCGTGAAAAATGTAGTATAAACAAGGTCCTGGGACTGTCAGGCATGGTGAATTTCCATTGCCTTTTGACGTGGAATGTGTTGTGAAAAGTATTGGCTCTAGATCATAATTTTAGATAGGCACTTTAACCCAAATACCATGAGTGGTTTCAAGTATGCAAATCAGTTCAGCTTTTTAGTTTTCATGTTTTAGTATGTCTCGGTACTTCTCAAAATCAAGATAATGGCTCTACAGTAATTCATATACAGTGTATTCATAGTCTTAATATTCTGAGTATTTAAGGTTAGATCCACAAACTGTTAGCGTTGCAGTGTTTAAGCAACCCTGCCACTCTTGGATTCCTTAACTTGTTAATTACCAGATCTTCTTGGGCAATGAGTAAGGAGTTTTAGGTATCTATCAGAACGTGGTACATGAAAGCCTGCAGACTGTGGAAAGCCACTTCGGCACATTAGTATCTAAAAGAGAACACAGACCACAGAAGGGAGCATTCATAGCTATGCACATTCTCCCACTGTCAAGCCTTTAAACTAGATCAGCCCACTTTCTTTAATGGAAAGATAGAGAAAGAAAAAAGCATCAACTCCAGCCAAGATACTCACCTGGGATATCATGGAATCACAGAAGAGTTTGGGTTGGAAGGGACATCCAAAGATTATGTCATCCAACTCCCCTGCAATGAGAAGGGACATCTTTGACTAGATTAGATTGCTCAGAGCCGCATCCAACCTGGCCTTGAATGTTTCCAGGGGTGGGAAATCTACCATGCCTCTGTGCAACCTGTTCCAGTGTTTCACCATCCTCACTGTAAAAAATGTCTTCCTTATATCTAGTCTAAATCTACCCTCTATTAGTTTAAAATCATTACCCTTCATTTTGTTGCAACAGGCTCTACAAAAGTTTGTCCCTGTTTTTCTTGTAAGTCCCTTTTAAGTATTAAAAAGCTGCAGTAAGGTCTCCCCAGAGTCTTCTCCAGGCTGAACAACCCCAACTCTCAGCCTGTTGTTCCGTCCCTCTGATCATTTTTGTGACCCTCCTCTGGACCCACACCAGCAAGTCCATGACTTTCCTGTGATGAGGACTACAGAGCAGGACTCAGTACTCCAGGTGGGATCTCACCAGAGTGGAGTACAAGGGCAGAATTTCCCCCGTTGACCTGCTGGCCACACTTCTTTTGATGCAGCCCAGGATATGGTTGTCTTTCTGGGCTGTGAGTGCACACTGCCAATTTATGTCCAGCTTTTCATCCACCAGTATCCCCAAGTGCTTCTCCTCAGGGCTGCTCTCAATCCCTTCATCCCCCAGTCTGTATTGATACCTGGGATTCCCATGACACATGTGCAGGACCTTTCACTTGGCCTTGTTGAACCTCATATGAGGTTCACATGGGCCCACTTCTCAAGCTTTTCAGGGTCCCTCTAGATGGCATCTCATCCCTCTGGCATGTCAACTGTACCATTCAGCTTGGTGTTGTCTGCAAATTGACTGAGGGTGCACTTGATCCCAATGTCTATGTCATTGATGAAGATATGAAAGAGTACTGGTCCCAATACAGATCCTTGTGGGATGCCACTCATAACTGATCTGTGAGCTGTTGACCTTGATGCAAGCATCCAACCGATTCCTCATCCACTAAACAGTCCACCCGTCAAATCCGTATCACTCCAATTTAGAGAGAAGGATGTTTTATAAACCATGTTAAAATCCTTATAGAAGTCCAGATAGATGACATCTGTAGCTCTTCCCTTGTCCACTGTTGTAGACTTGCCTTTGCTGAAGCCATGCTAGGTGTCTTGAGTAATATGAAGTCCTGTTTTTTGTTACCTACTCTTCCTCATGGGGGAATTCAGTTCTCCAGGGTGTAGCATGAGCATCCTAAAACTTGAACTCCGTTGGTATGGATTTCTTGATCCAACCTGCCAAAGCTGTTGTTTCCATAACCATCTAAATTGTTACCAGACTTGGAGTTGACTTCTTTCCTATATCAACAAAGTTTTAGATTCAGTCTCCTTCATTCCTCTTTCCACCCTTGTCTTAATTAACACATATATTGTAATGTGATATGGTACGGCTTACAGAGTAAAAAAGGAAAACAAAAAAATCACGTCTGATTTTTCTAGTGCCTCTATACATGAGGCTACAGGTTTGTAAGAAATCTGAATTTTTGACCCTATTTGAAAGCAGGTCATCTGTATCTGCTTATCTTCAATACAAATACCTGCTTATCTTCAGTACAAATACCTTTGAGGTGGACTCATTGGATGTCATTGCTGACTCTTTCAGGTATGTCACGCACTGTGTAAAGGTTTCCTGTGTCTCTGTATCTATGAAGCCTGGTCCAGTAAGAGTGTGAGACAAAACCTAGCTATTACGGGTTTCTGCCTGAAGCTTGAGTCTGACATAGGATGTGGGTACATGTTAGGTGGGACTTAGCTGTTTGGCAATGTTCATTTGGCCAGTAATGCCTACTGATGGAAACTTCAGTGCCCTTGCAATGTGCACATTGGTGGTGTTAGACAGCAGCCAAAAATTTCACCTGAACGTAAAGTTTAATTGTAAAGTAGCAGATAGGTACTTGTGAAGTGAATCAAGCCATTACAGGTTACACTTCATCTAGAGGAGCCAAAAGTGCTTATTGGAAGCCACAGTTCCGTCAGGAAGTGCACAGAAGAGATGCCTGTGAGAGTGCAGCGTGCAGCAGAGTCTCTGCTGTCCTCGTTTGAACGGAAAGGAAAGCTGGGCATGGGGCCTAGATGGAAGCTGCAGCGTGCTTCAACAGGTGCCTGCATCATTCCAGGAATTCAGAACATGCCACTGCAAGTTGCAGCAGATACGTCTACATGCAACGCCTTTATTTTTTTTGCATAATGCTATTAGAAAACAAAACAAAAAAAAATCTTACTAGCATCTTATTGCAGAGACAGAAGATCAGTGATCTGTGATATATCTGCTTGATCTACAGAAATACATATTTTCGAAATTATTAGGTTGATTTTATAATAATAAGTTCCTATGTAGAGCTCATTGATTTCTAAAATGAAGGTCTGTAATTTGCCCTATGGATAGGTGATCTCATTAAATTATAGGTATGTTACCTTGAGCTTTGACATCACCATTTTAATATGAATTGTTGACTTCAATCCAGACAGACACACTTCTTTGATGTACAGAGCAGACTAGCACATAAATATAAGCTCATTCTTTTTACTGCTTTGTTAGTTTTATAGTAATGTATTCTAACAGGGCAGGTAGGTGCATGGTTTCCATGCCTGGATTAGCAGTAGGGGTTTATCTTGTTATTTTTCTTTCCTGAATGTCTTAATGTAGATCTTTTAATTCAGCTACCCACAGGATGAATGGGTAAACTGTCTGTTTTGTATCAGGCCAAAGGAAATTTAAAGATCTGGCAACAGTACTAAAAATCTTGGAAGAGACTAGCTTTTTGACTGTACAGACTGTAACTGTAAAAGCACTTTAATCAATCTCTAACAATGAAAGTTGTCAGTCTTGATATGGAGAGGTTTTGGTTTTAATATTTTAGAGTTCTGCCTTAGCTTTCTGGTAAAAAGAATTACTCTGAGCTAAAGGAGCACATCAACATCATGAGATAGAAGATTCATAGTAACCTTTTCAGTTCTTCTGGGGATATGGAACACAACCAAATAAGTAACACTTAAATGGCCTATCTATACTGTGACTGCTACGCCAGTGACAAAAATAGGTCCACAGTCCAGTCTGTGGCATCTGAGGAATCATTGCCATCATCTGGATAACACAGAAATTAAGGCTTGAGTCTTTATTTGGACTTGTAGGAAAGTGGCTGGGGGCAATAAGCTAAAACTCCCTAGTCTTTCGCCACTCAGTGAATGCTGAAAAAAAAAAAAATAGCACAGTTGTGCCCCAGGTTCTCTAGAGCTTATTACAGCAGTTCTGTGTAAAATCAGCAATAAATAATATCTGGCTGCTCTTATTTCAAGTACTGTAAAGTAATTTAACCAAAAAGGGAATCTGCCCCAGAGTCTCTCTTTCTGTCTTTCCCTCTGTGTGTATATATATATATATATATATATATATATATATATATATATGTAAAATCCCCTTTGGTTAGAAAACACATAGATTTAAGAAAAACTTTTGTCAGGGTATGTGTGACATCCTATTGCAGCTTCAGCTGTAACAGGTTTCCTTTACACCAACATATTTCTTACAGCTATACTTCTGTAAATCTACCATAACCACATGCGTTGTTCTAGAGTGTCTATAGATAAAAGTCTATAGTTTAATAGTCTGCATAAACTGTTGAAAGCTGAGGTTTGTAGATTAAAGGGTATCTAAGGTGAGCCTGTTTCTGTCCCATAATGTGTGTGTGTATATCAAATGGTATATTGAAATTGCTGTTAGTATGTGACTCCAGTGAATGCTTTTCACACTACATAAAACTCCCTGCCAACCAAAAATTATATAGGATTTTGTTTCAGTTTCTGAGATTTTAAAATTAATATTCTTTACAGTTCTGCATCTTTTTGGAGGAAAGGGAATTTACAGTGGTTTTAATGCATAAGTTTCATCTCATTTGTCATGAGACTTTATCTGTGTAGGTAAATGCTTGTATATGCATTTATTTATGTATATATATATATTTGAAGGAAAGAAAGAATACAGTCACGTAGAGCCTTAGAAATAAATTAATTTATGAGTGATGTTACTTGTAATTGTAGATTGCAATTTAGATGTAAAGAACATGGAACTTGATGAATCTTATGAAAAAATGTCTTCCACCCAGTCTGTTCTTTAAACAATTGACATAGCTTTCATTAACTATGTTGTCAGAAGGTGTCTTTATAGCAGTATTATATAATTTAGCTTCACTTTTAATGGTTATTTCTAATTAACCATTCTTAATCCAGATCAAATACTGTAACACATTTAATAACATTTGAGGCTTCTGAAGGATAATATGCTTTCTACGTTACTACAGAATGACAAATTTCACATGCATTAAGATTACACATATAGGTATTCTGAATGCCAACTTTCAGTCTGGATGCTCTTGGAAATCTTTAAATATAGATGATTTCCAGGTTAATGGTAGGATATTCCTCCTTACAATTTTCATTGAACTGACACTTCAGAAAGCCCCTTGACCTTCGCTGTTCAGCAGCTTCCGATACATGTTGGCCATCTTTTTAGTTGTGTCAGCTCAAGGGGAGCTTTATGCTTGATAAGCACACGGGCCAAATCCTGCCTATCATCTTCTGTTTGATAGTTTTATTAGGGTTTAGTAGGGCTATTTGCAAAGTTTGTTGAAGAAAGAGCCTAATGCTGACCCATGCATGGAAGTGACATTTCTCTGTGTTTGGTTCTTAAAAGTATATATAAAAAAAAAAAAAAACAGAAGAAAGAGCTTTATTCAAATTAGATACTGCATATTAATAATACAGTGCTTGATCTAAGTGTTCAGTTAGATTTTAACCTTAGAATTTACCATGTTCCAGATTTTAGAGCATTCTGCTTGTTTACCTAAGTACTTTGGATCAGACTTAATCCACTCTAAAGCTGCTTGCTCGTCAACCATTTTTTTTTTTCAAAATATAAGTATTGCTTACATTGTTTATTATATGATATGATTGTATCCTTGTTAATCCACATTTTGAAATTACTGTTCACTGAAGTAACAACAGATTATTGTCATGGTAATCAAGCATTTTTGCTTTATTTCTTCATGTTCGTAAATGGGAGAAGAAGAGATTTTCTAATATTATAGCCAGAAATACAAAACCACACTTAGAATGGAGTTATTTCTTTATAGAGTTTTGTAGATGGATAGAGCTTGGTAAGAATTTAGTGGTTTTCTTCTGGTTATATTGTTCATATGAGCTTTGTTTGTTTTCACAAATAAGTTAATTAAAATGTGATAAAATTTTTATCTACTTACCTTATTCAAAGTGTAGTATAAAATCTGAAATATCATTGCTCTCATTTAGATTTTGTAATTTGGTTTATTTCTGTTTTTCATATCCTAAAGAAACAAAAAGAAACATTCCTGTTAGTATTACTATCACTGTCATGATTGTTCTGATTAATTTTTGTTTGATAGATACTAAGCTGTATTCTCTTGAAGGTGCCGTGTGTCCTTTAATGAAAACAGTTGTCCATCATCTCAAACAAATCAACAGAGACAGCCTTGGTGTTTCAGGTAAATGACTATGTTAATATGGATATCTAAATTAATTAGCTAGTAGTGGATGTAATCATAGTCCGACTGAAGCTGGCTTTAAAACTGACAGGGCAGTACAGAATGACATCCCCATGCTCCAAAAGCTCCTGGTTTTTTTAATAAGATGGAGTTAAAATCAGAATATGTTGTTCTTGGAAAGTATTGGTTGAAGTTCTGCAGCCATACTTATTTCTGTTGTTTTTCCCAAACATCCTTTGTTCTTATCGGTTCAGATGATAAAATTAAATAAGGACTGCATTTTTCAGGTTGCAAAGTCATCTACTGAGTGAATTTTGCACTGATAGTTTCTCTGTCGATAAAGTGAATATTGCAAGTTTCTCTGACTTGAAGTACTGGTTTTCAAAATAGCTTGTCAGTCTGTACTCTAGAAAGTCACCAAGCATGCTAAAAGTCAGTATTTACTTCTGTTTTTTAGATTCCATTAAACTAAATCATTGTATTGTATTTCACAGGGTTTGATCTGGCAGAAAGCTTTTCTTTGAGGCAAACAACTTGTGGAGGGGAAAAAATCTGTTTTAAACTGGGAAGCGCACCTCTCATCAGAGACACAAAGTAAGAAAGATACTACTTTCATCCTTTGTCTTTAAAAGACAGGGCTTAGATTAAATGCTACTAATGAACTGAAACACTGAGCTGTGTATCCAAGGGATGCCACAGAAAGACATATCTGTTTTTAAGCATTTTCATCTGTAACAGTTTTTTTTCTTCAGGAAACATTTTGATTCAGGTGGACGTTTCTTCTGGAATCTGGAAGTATCTATGTAGAAAGTTAATTGTGAATATCTTTTTCTATGGGCATCATTCCGATACTGAAAACACTACTGGTTATACATAATTGTTTACAAAACAAAGGAAAAAAAGAAAACAAAGAACCTTCATGGTATGACAAGAAGTGTAGTAACAATCTTCCCTCAGTGAAATGGGCTGTCCTCTCTCTTATTACTGGAGGCAGGATTAAAAAGATAAGGAGAGTCACTGTTTCCTTAAGTGCTATTTTCATGATTTTTCCCCCCCCCCCAGTGGAATTGGCATCTTGCCTTTGAGCAGCAACAGGATCATGGGTACTCAGTGTAGAGGTGAAATGAGGCAGCGTCCTATTCAGACGCGGAGTGGGATCAAAGGCAAAGACTGCATGAAAAATCAAAAGGAAGGTGAAAGAGAGTAAGGCACAATGAGATTGGGTGGATTTAAGTTTGCACGGGGACAAGGAAATGGCAAGAAGCAGTTAGGAATATAGTTTCAAGTTCCCCATGCTCAGTGGAGAGAGAGAGGTTCATCTCAGAGCTTCTTTGTTGGGATGTGCTCTGAGTCATGGGACTGTGGTTTCTGTACAGCATGTTCCTGTGGTGATGAGGGAAGCAGCTGTATTCCCGTGTCTTCAGGTTGGGTATTCTCTGTTGCAAGAAGTCTGGCTCCAGCTTGCCGAGGAAGAAATGCACCTGTCCCTCAGACCTTCCCTTGCTTGGATCCTGGGCAGAGCAAAGAGGGGCTGTGGGGAGCATGAGGCCAGGGGAGAGGCAGAAGAGAGGAATTGGAGGCACCCAGACAAAGAACACAGTGATCTTTGGGAGAGGAGAATGGTTCAAGAAACAGGACCTAAACGTTCTAGATTACTAAATAGATTCAGAGTTTTCCTGAGGTATTAGATACTGTAAATGCTAAATTTTTAAGATTGTGTAATACTGCAAAGTTAAACAAAGTAATAGCTGTATTTTTTTAAATACCTTGAACATTAGCTATTAAAGGAAAAATGACTAGATAATATTACTTGACACAAAGAGTGCTCTAATTTTATTAGGGCCTTCCCAGAATAATCAAGATTATCTTTAGAAAAGGAACATGTAAAATTAGATACCACCCATGCACGTCTTTACTAAAAATATTTTGAAAGTTTTTCAGTAAGAAAACTTTTTTTTAAAATCCATTATTAATTTTTCACATTTTACAGATTTTTTCTTTTTTTTTTTTTTTCAATAGATAGGAATTTGAGTGGAAACATGAGACTATAAAAGAGTAAAAAATCAAGACAGTAACAAAAAATGTGGGGTTATGTTCATTTAGGAATAAGAAGCTAAGCAGTGCTTTGTGTGCAGTGAAATGCATATTGCAAGCTGACTTATTCTGAAACTGTAAGAAAATCAATGGCAAAAACAGTGAGAGGAGCTAGAAATTGGAAAAGGGTGAATTATTTAAAATTCATATTACTTTGAGTGAAAATTCATTATTTGAAGGTGTTGATTTCTAAGAATTCAGTGTATTTAGAAGGGGTCTGAAAAGTGGTGTTGATGTTTAAAAATGCAAAGCTTTTTTCCTAGCTTCTATTAATAGTCCTGAACACTAATGTCTGTTTTATTTTCTCCTTTTAAAAATGGTTTATTAGTGAAGGCAGTGAGAATAGGGAATTCACATCGTGGCTGATACCCGTGGCTTAGCAAAGCCTTAATGCTTAGCAGTTGCAAGGAGAATACTTGAGAAAGACACAGTACTACATTTTTTATCACTTTATTTATGGAGTGGGAGAGAAATCTAATAGATACTTTTTTTTCTGTATTTTATCTGTTCACCTTTTTGGAGGGAGGATGACTCTTTGAGATAGAAATGTCTAGTTTTTCTTAATTTTCAGTGTAACTATGTCAGCGGATAAAGAATTTCAGTAAAGGGTAAACCTGGAAGGCAGGTAGTTTGGCTTTAATGGTCTCTTGTTTCTCAGATTCCTCTCCCTCCACGTTGTTTTTTTCTGTGTATACTCATTAAAGAAAACTAAAGAGAAAATCTTTTCAGTTTCCCCTAAAATTATGCGTATCTAATGGATGAAAACTTTAGCTGGATGGTGCAACTGAGATGATTATTAATAAAATGCGTAACAGTGCTAATGTATTAATATAGTTAGGCTGAAAATTAACATCACCTTATTGATGTTAATGAGGTACAAGATAAGATGCTCAGTCAGCTTGTTGTGGAAGTAAACAGTACAACTTACTGAACAAAAAAAAAGGATTAAAATTATTTTCAGTAACATTCAAGCATTGCAGAATTTCCATTAAATCCTAGTTTTTCATGGCAGTAGTTTTGCTCATGCTTTTTTAACTTTTCTTCACAGAGAAATGCATGTCATAATTAAGAATAGAATTTGCTTTTTTATTCAGTATTTGAATAAATAATAATAAATAATTGTTGAGATAACACCTCAGACAAGATTTTTTTAAAATTACCTGTTTAAAGGATTTTTGATACTCCTCTGAGCTTCTGAATTGGTTTCTAAAAATAAGGGCATAGGGTAGTCAGGAGCACAAAGTCAGGTTTTGACACAGTAGGGTTATTTACCAAACATATAAATTTATACATATTTCTTTTCCAAGTTAAGTAAAGGTGGGCCGTCTACCTAGTCAGATCAGGACTGATTGTAAATTCCAGTAACTGGTGCCCATGTTACTGCGGTGCACATCATGATTTTGAGCCCTTTTATTCCTTTGTACCACAGATCTTCCTTTGCAACATGCCAGATCTTTCCCACGGGCTTGGCTCAGTGTATCTCATCGTGAGACCGATTAGCTTTACCCCACTAATGTAGGGAGAGAGAAACTGTATTAACAACTTTTAAAACACACACACGATACAACTATTTACACGTGGACGCACACCGAACACATGAACAGTGCACAATCCTCTTGAGCCCTTCGGCAGAGGATAGTCAGGAGCTCAGAGATCTGTCATCATAATCTTATAATTTACTTTATCTCAGTTATCCATGTATGATACCTTGTAATTCATTATTTTTATTTAAATCTCCTTCTCTTGCATTATGTCAGATTGTGTGGTTGCAGACCCCTTGTGTTATTAGATGCACAGAGGTTTTTAGGATCTTTCTGCTTCAGAAAATATTTTAGTAGACGTGGTGTGCAGTAAGCAGAAGTGTTTGTTATCCATCCTGCAGGAAACTGAGAGTATCTGATTAAGCTGACTAGCAAGTATCAAGTAACTTGGCACATCTCCTCTTACATTTCATTCATTCAGTCGTAGTGTGGGTAATAGAAAGCTATGCTGTGCCATTTTTCTTGTGTGATGCCATTTTAGTTTTTTTTCAATGGACCTGGAGTAGTGTTGCACCTATTTATATGTTGTAAATAATTTACAATGCAGTGTCAACTTGAGAAATTGATTATGTCTATTTATGTTGGAATTTAGTTTTCTCTCTTGTCTTTATCTCTTTTTGTAACGGAGTTCTGTATATATTTCGTTTTGTGATAGGAGATGGATAGCTTTTCTTATGCTCCATGTAAACTATTAAATACTAATTCTAATAATATTTTCAGGATTAAAGGGTGGTTTTTAAATTAAAATACTGTGAGTTAGTTACTGCAATTCTTATGTGGACATTAATAGAATTTATTTCTGAGTAAAGAAGTCTAACTAAGCCTTTGAATCCTAAAGAAATTCACTGTAAAATATCGTTGTGCAGACAATCTAATTATATAATTATAATAATAGTAATTGTATGATGTTTTAATTTTATTTCAGCATATACATGGTGGAGTCATATTTTGATCTCCAGAGTTTAACATATACTACCTATGAGGTATATTCCAGTTTGGCACAGAGCTTGCTGTCAAAAGCAGCACAGGGCTCTGTGCTGATAACAAATCCTTTGGACTTGCTGGCAGCATTCAGTATGCTGGACATGAAGCCTTTTAGGCTAATCTTTGTTCTATAGTTCCCTTAGAGTAAACAGCACTATGATGAAATAATTTCACTGTCCTTCTCTAAAGATGCATCAAATGTCAGTTGGTCCTCATTCTCACTTTTCTGGGTTGCTGGTGGACCTTTTTCTTCTCCACTGAAAGTGCCAGTGAAGGAGATAGTAAGATGATTTCGGCTGTTTCAGAATGTTTTTGGAATGGATGTTTATGATTAGCAAATCTTAATGGCACTAGTCATTGCTTTCTTATTTTGTAGTTTGTTTGGCTTGACAAACCATAATAATTTACTGAGGATATTATTGTAGCTGGCTGTTAAATGAGCTCAGAGTTAGCAGTTGGGATTACTCTCGCGACTGTTCTAAGAATTCTTCCCCTTTTGGTGTAAGATACTGCAAAAGAGCTTGGATTTTGACTGTATTTGGACTACTGCGCTCCATCGGCAATGTTGTTTGTCACTGTTGCCAGAAGAGCTGTGGCTGTGGCTTGGGCCATATTTCAGAGAAAATGTTTCATCTCCTTGTGATGTCTGATTACTAGATGCAGAAATACTGTTCCCACTTCTATCAGTGTATTCCAGGCTGCACAATTCTTTCTGCTAAGAACAGAAATTGATGATGAAGGAATGTTTATGGGGGAAGTATTTTTTTTTTGTTGTTGTTTGTTTGTTTGTTTTTGTTTGTTTTGTTTTTGTTTTGTTTGTTTGTTTGTTTTTTTAATGCTAACCATTTTAATCATAAAAAATGCTTTGGGAATTGTATTTCCTAGAGCACAGCTGGCACCAAGTAAGTTTCTGTGCTCACCGGTAGAAGCCTCTTCATAGCTAGCAGTATGCTCCCCAAGGCACCTATCTCTGGG